TCTATGCTTCAATAGAATTAAAAAAATAAATAAAAACAAAACTCATAAAACAGGCCAGGACAGAAATGATGATACCCCTGAAAAAAATTGACCAAAGGGACATGTTAAATCAAGGTGTGTCCACTAATTAGCATCACAGGTGTCTACAATCTAGAAATCAGTCAGTGGGCCTGTATAGGGCTACAGAAACTCAAATGTGTTGTTTGGTGACATGGTGTGCACCTCACTCAACATGGACCAGAGGAAGTGAAGGAAATTGTCTCAGGAGATAAAAAGAAAATTATATACGCATGTTAAATGTAAAGGTTATAAGACCATCTCCAAGCAGCTTGATGGTCCTGTGACTAGAGTTGCACATGTTATTCAGAAATTTAAGATCTATGGGACTGTAGCCAATCTCCCTGGATGTGGCCACAGGAGGAAAGTTGATGACAAATCAAAGAGACAGCTAATACAAATGATAAGAAAAGAGCCCAGAAAAACTTCTAAAGACTTTAAAGGTGAACTTCAAGCTCAAGGAACATCAGTGTCAGATCGCATTTGAAACATGGAGGAGGCTCTGTTATGTTCGGGGGCTGCTTTGCTGCATCTGGCACAGGGTGTCTTGAACCAACTCACTCCGGACTCGTCAACATATTGATGCTTGGTCAGGTACCATCCGCTTCCAGTTTTAACGCATCGGGTACACCCCTCATGTCAGTCATTGCCGGGCGCTGCTTTTCCGGGTTGTGCTACTTAGGGGTCTTTGGGTTGGGGGTCTGTTCTTAAAGGATCAGGATTAATGGTTAATTTTAGGTATTGAAGTTGGGGATAGGCTGTATATGGCTAAAAAAAAAATTAGATTTAGGGTTTGGGACAGTTAGTTTTCACACATTCTCTACACTTTCAAAAATGGTTAATATGAGGGATCAGGGTTAATGGTTAATTTTAGGTACTGAGGTTGGGTATAGGCTGTATAGGGCTAATAGAAGTAAAATTTAGGGTCTGGGATGGTTAGTTGTCGTGCATTTCCTATTCTTTTCAAAAAATGACAACACGCTCCTCCTCCTTTGCCTCATCTCATTAAGAATGGATGCGAGGGGGGTACCCGACACGTCTGAAGCTGGACGCAGATGGCTACATGACCAAGTGTCAATATGTTGACAAGTCGGGAGTGAGAATGGGTTGCTTGAACCTGTGCGGGGTTCAATGGAATCTCAAGACAATCAGAGGATTCTAGAGAGAAATGTGCTGCCCAGTGTCAGAAGGCTTGGTCTCAGTAGCAGGTCATGGGTCTTGCAACAGAATAATGAACATAAACATGCAGCTAAAAACACCCAAGAATGGCTAAGAGGAAAATATTGGACTATTTTGAAGTGGCCTTCTATGATCCTGACCTAAATCCTGTTGAGCATCTTTGGAAGGAGCTGAAACATGCTGTCTGGAAAAGACACCCTTCAAACCTGAGACAACTGGAGCAGTTTGTTCATGAGGAGTGGACCAAAATACCTGCTGAAAGGTGTAGAAATCTCATTGACAGTTACAGGAATAGTTTGATTGCAGTGATTGACTCAAAAGGTTGTGCAATAAAATATCAAGTTAAGGGTACCATCATTTCTGTCCAGGCCTGTTCCATTAGCATCTTAAACAGGTTTTTAAAAGTTCCCAGTCATGTACTCATTAAATAAGTTTATTGATGTGGTGTAATTTGTCTGAACATGTGTTTGTATTTAATTTCATATTGTGTATCTTGTGTTGTGTTGTTTTCCTGAATACCTTGTGTTGTTTTGTCTTCCTGGCTCAGGACTATAGATGTAAATTAGCAACTATGGTAAAATCTGTCTTATTTACAGTCTATACAGAAGAATAAGATTGGTCATTACAGTTTTTATTGATTGATTTGACCTGTTTGAAGGAATTGGGCACCTCTCAGTCTTCATCACCATCTCAGCAGAGCAGAAGACACCTCTAACATATGTGTTAACCCATTCTCATTGGATTGAGACAGTTTTTGCACCCTTTTGCAAAATAGTTAACACAGATGTAATTCTAGCAGTCCAAACTCTGTTGTTTTAGCTCTGGTAACCAAACAGAAACCATCCGTTCCTGACTATTAGAAGCTACCTATGAAATTTCACAAAAATCTTCACTTAGCAATCAGTCTTCAGGCATTTAAAAGGTGGCACGTCTGTGTTATTCAGCATGGATAGAGGAGGTCCAAGGATTCAGAAGAAGAGGAATCTGTGTGCAAGGTTGTAGATGTGACACATCAACCTATCCAACAACACATCATGTGTTGTTGGATAGGCTCAAGTTTCAGAAGAAATTTGTGCATCTGTATTTTCCCTAATAGACTTGAATTTGGTTTACATTTATAGTATTTTGTGTAATATTTACAGTATTTCAGCCACAGTTTGAAATATATATATATATACAGTATATT